CCATTTGCAAAAATCAACTGTTTACAGTGCAGAGGGTCACAAAGCAGGTTTCAAAAAAGATCCAAAAATTAAGGTACAAATTCTGTGCTCTGACCATAATAAAATTAGAAGTTAGTAACTAAAAGATAATCATTACCACCTGTATATTTGGAAAGTAAACCAAGCACTCACACTTCTAAGTAGTTTGTGTCTCAAAAAAGAAATCACAGTGGAAATTACATGTATAAATTAATAGAAGGAAAAACACTGCATTGCTCCTGGCCTGAGAAATGTTGCTATATAATAAAAATGGTAGCATTTTTAAAATTCATGTATAGATTGAAGTAGCCTCCATTGACATCTTGGAGAACATGAGTCTTTAGAAGTCTAGTCATTCTAATTTACTTCAAAATATTGCAAAGTATAAACGTTACAGCATTGGAATTAAGAAGGAAATACAAGACCAATGAACAAAATAGAGGCTTCAAAAATATAACCTATTACAGAAGTTAGAAGTGTAAGTTAAAAGCCAAGAATAACTTAAAGGTGAAAGGAATCACCTTTAATGAATTTTGCTACGACATTGAGAGAAATGGACTTATGTTTTTGTCACTGTTGTATATAAGAGATCAATTTAGGACTATTTACAAAAACAGTATTTTAGAGATCACTTAGGTTTGTCACCATAATAGCTATTCTGAAATGTGTCAATATCAGAAGGAAAGCAGCAAAGGCAGAATAAGGAAAGTTGTTAAACCTATCCCATCCTAGTTGAATATTGGGAGTTTATTATACTAGTTTTGCCTACTTGTATATTTGGAATTTTCCATAATTTTTTAAATGAAGGTAAAAGAATGGGGAAGATATGTAGTGTGTATAACTGATACAATTTTTACCCAAAAATATAAACAATGTTTATATATGTTAAACATGTTTAAGTTCCATAACCACATTCTGTTTGTTCAGTGGAAAAAAGAGAACAGGCAAACAAGAAAATATTGATAATAAATCATTACACAGAAAAACCTGCAGCTTTGGCATTAGTTAGAAATAAAATTAACATGAAAGCATTGGTGTGTATTTATTAGCTAGAAAAAAAATTGTAAAACCTTATGTTGGCTAGAATATTCACCTTTGTACTCAGTAGTGATTGTATCTAACTAGAGGAAATACTAGCAACAGATGGTATTTATCAAATTGATCACTCAATTTACCTGCACTTCTGGGATACGCAAGTATCTAAGACATTAGTGAATGCTACTATAGAATAGAATTTCTTCTCTAAAACCCTGTTTTAGATGGCCTTTTAAGCCCCTTAGTTGTTCTGTAACTAGCAGTAAACACATACTACGGGTCAGGCACTGTTCCATTCAGACTTCACAGCTTCAGGAGGGTAGCATCTATAACTGCATCTTACAGATAGAAGGATTCAGTCTTTGAAAAAGAAAGTGATTTTCCCCCAAATCGCATATTAATAATGAGCTCAACTAGGATCTGAGCCCAGGTAGTCTTATTTCAGACCCCCTGCTTTAAATCATTTCTCCAAACTGTCTCTCAGAATTAAAACCTTGTATCAAGTAGTTGACTTCCCTTTTGAGGGGCATGTAATTGCTTTAGATAGCTACTACTAACATTCAGCTTCATTTTAGTATAGCTTCTAGATGGTTTTGACCATAATGCTGATGGGAATCAGCAGTGAAACACATTTTCTGATATATAACTGATGACATTGTAAATAGGTACAGCCTTTTTTGGAAAGCATTTTGGCAGCATATTTCGAGAGCCATAAAATGCTCACATTTTTTGACCTAGTTAATGCCACTTCTGGGAATCCTCTAAAGAAATAGTCTAATATGGAAAAAGCCATAAGCACTAAAGTGATCACGACAGCAATGTTTGTAATAGAGCAACTGGAAGCAACCCTGAATGTTCATCAGTAAAGGAATGATTAAATACACGATGGTATATTTACCTAGGCAGCCAATAAAAATGAAGTGTGATGCAACACAAAGAAAACACAGTCATCTTGAGTTTTCAAAGTAGCACACAGCGGTATGTGTACTAAAATTATATTCTTTACAAATAAAAAATGGAATAGAAAACTGGTTGTGGGTAATATTTTTTCTTTCTGCTGTTTTTCAAGCTTTTTGTAATACAAATTTATTCCTAATCTTAAGATTCAAATCACATGATTACCTAACGTTTTTGTGTATTTGTCTCCTAGCCCTCACTAGATAATAAAAACTCTTGATTATAAGCTGTGTGGTGGTTGCAGGCAGTTAAAAAAACATGCAGAGAGCATCACTAGACACAGGCAGACTTCAGGAACTTTGCAGGTACCTCATTTACTGGTTGCATGAACCTCATCCAGTGTCTGTCTCATCTGACTCATTTGACCCATGAAGTGAGCAGTACAGTTTGCGTAGCATGAGTGGACTCTTTGGAGTTAGGGGACCTTGCAGTGTGTGTCTTTGGCTCTTACACAAGCAGCTCAAACTTTGTAAAGCTCAATTTCCTCATCCATAAAAATGGAGCTAGTGAGATCAAGGTCTGGCACTCCTTTAGTAGATGCTCTGAAAATGTTCCTTCCATTCCGTTATAGTCCTTATAAAGTGTTCCTCTCCTTTTTTTTTTTTTTTTTTTTTTTTTTTTTTTTTTTTTTTTTTTTTTTTTTTTTTTTATTTNAGAGCGTGAGCTGGGTAGGGTCAGAGAGAGAGGGAGACACAGAATCTCAAACAGGTTCCAGGCTCTGAGCTAGCTGTCAGCACAGAGCCCGACGCGGGGCTAGAACCCACGAACCATGAGATCATGACCTGACCCAAAGTAGGCCACCCCAACTGACTGAGCCACCCAGGCACCCCCTTCACCTTTCTCTTTGCATGACAAGAGCAGATATAAAGCCTTTCAGCTAGCTTCTTTTGCCTGAAATCTTTTGAGCAGCAACTTTTACACATCAGTCTTCTAGAGTAACTTGTTATCTGTAATTCAGAGTTAAGAATGAAGGAAGAAAAAAGATCTTGTCATTCAGTATGGCCAGCCAAATTTTCAGTTTTGTTTCAATCCTTTTCTGATTATAAAAATGTAGTAAGTGGCCATTGTTGAACATTTGAAAAATGTGGAAAGCTGGAAGAAGAAAACTATGCCATAATCTTCCCACTGAGAAGTATATTGTACATTTCATTTTATTCTTAATTTTTTCTGAATATCTGATTGCTTTTTTTGTTTAGGAGAACTACAGGAAAGCTCTTATTAGATCATTTGTATGTTTGAGGCAAGCTTATTATGTTTTCTGTTTGAGATAGTTTATCGTTTTGTTTTTAATGTATGTTTATTTTTGAGAGAGAGGGAGACAGCATGAGTCGGAGAGAGGCAGAGAGAGAAAGGGAGAAACAGAATACAAAGCAGGCTCCAGGCTCTGAGCTGTCAACACAGAGCCTGATGTGGTGCTGTGGTGCTCAAACCCACAAATCACAAGATCACAGCCTGAGCTGAAGTCAGACACTTACCTGACTGAGCTACCCAGGCGCCCCAAGATAGTTTACCTTTAATAAGTAATTCTTACACAAAGATAAAGACCAAGCTAGCAATAGGGAACCAGATGGAGGATGAGGTAGGGATAGTTCTGTCTTAATTAGCATGACAGATTTTTCTGTAATTCTGATACCTGTCAAAGAATGAACTTATGTAAAGTATAATTACCTGGACTTTTTTAGGACAATACAGTTTTAAATAACTTGTGATATTTTCATTGCAGGTTATCTTGTACCATTTCAGACCTTGAGTTATAAAGTTTGGTCTGGAAAACATAATCACCAGACATAAACTTGGAATAAAAAAAAAAAAAAGCTTGCAGAATAACCACAATTTCTTGGCTCTTGTCGTTATCATTTTTAGAACATGCAGTTTTAAAAAATCATCAGTCCCTGTAACATCCTCTGGAGAAAAGGAGGAAATTTATCCAGTGACAGAACCAACAGAGCAGCAAATACCTAGAAAGGCAGACTGAGCTACTGTGTGCGGGGGCCAGCATTACCCTGGGTAATGCCACATTACCCTGACTTGTGTTGAGCTTGTACTGAAATCAGAAAGGGAGAATGTTACTCATTGGGGATTAAGAACATTGATCCCTCCATTTTCTGGGCTTTGCTGTTCAAGAGAGGCTTCTACAGGATGACTTAAAAAGCAGGGGAAAAGGTGTTTTCCTTCTTCCATATCTTTTCTTCACAGCAGCAGTAGAATTATGAAAGGTGACAGGGTACATCCTATATAAATAATTTTCAGTGTGGTCTATCTGTCATCCCCACTACATCGAGGAGGACATGAGAAATGTTTGAGGTCAGTGTATTGTCTTGCCTCATCACTCTCCTTGGAATATGCCACTGTGGCTTGTGCCCTTTTGACTTCAGAGGTCTGCTGCTACAGGCAAGAGACTGTTGATTGGTTGGGAGTAGGTGTCCCTCGCTCCTGCTTTACAATCTACACATCAGGAAAGTCACTTGTCCTTTTGAGTCATTTCTTCTGACAAGGAAGGGCCATAACTCCTTACTGATACTTGCTTGTTAACCCTTCCCAATCCTTTCCTCTTTGAGGAAAATCACTTATTTACAGGAGAAAACCTAATCTGTAGGACTGTTTGACAATCCAACTTAGAATTTAATGGACTTCCACAGCGTTAGGCAGTACTTAGGTGCAATGGGATAGTGGGGATTTGAAAATGTCATGTAAGAGTAGGGTAGATAAATATAGCCTGCAGACCTTCTACTTGGAATAACTTTGGTCTCTCTAAAACTGTGTTTGCCTGAGATAGAACTTGGTACCCTGTGAAAAATGATGACCTGAGATTTTTGAACTGCTGAGGAGGTGGTACCCAGAGCTGTAAAAGGGAGGAAGCTGCATAGAAAGTTAGCTGAATCTACACGCTGTTCTTATGAGAGATGATCAGTTCTATTTAATTCACTATATCACTTTTTAGATTTTTTTCTGTAACTTATAATTGATAAAAGTGATTAAATTTCTTTCAGTATTGCCTGTCAGGGCACCCAACCTTACCATGCAACGTGCTCAAATTCAAGTCAACTACCATTATGTTGGACTGTGGACTGGACATGACTTCCACTCTCCATTTCCTTCCTTTGCCACTTGTTCAAAGGTATGTGCTGCTGCATCTGAGACAAAAATGAGCTTTTGTTTGCTGAAAAAATGGTACCGATTAGCATAAAGATTACCAGTGCCTTGTGTGTTGTCCTTAGTTTACTTTGTTCCCTAAAAATGTTCTTCATCAGAATCATTTCCTTTGACTGGGTTGATGGAAAGTGTTGTATTGATTTATTGATTGACTTCTTTATTACAACTCCTGAGCTTCTGTAAAATGTTCCTGCAACTGCTCCGTGCAAGTGAGGTCATGTATATTTCATCTTTCTTGCTAATTCATATAAGAGCTGATAAATGGTCAGATGATGAGCCCAAGAATTGAATTTTAAACCATTTAACTGACTTTGCAGCAACTTGACATCATAGAACCTGACATTTCTTTTTGATAGGTATCAATGCATCATTATATTCATAATAGTCAGCTGTAGATATCATAGAATCATACATGAAGCCAGAGTCCTTGTCTTAAAGCAGATATCCCAAGCCTGTAGTCACCACTGTTTACTCTTAGTAATACTTTGTCATGGAAATCGGCTTCCCAGTTTGCTTTTATTTGGAAGCTGCAATTTATAAGAAAAGTGGCTAACTTATAGAAGCATATATACTCCCAGTAACAAAAAGTGATAACACACAGGAGAAACCGAAAAGCTATCTAAAACAGATTTAAGAGCTTAAAAGCATAGCAGCCTAGGTGAACAATCTAATATACCTCATTCCTGAAGACATCACCGTATGCAATGATTATTCATAATGATAACCTCCTGAACCCAAAAAGTATAATTAAAACTCAGTCTTTGGGTTTTTTGTTTTTGTTTTGAGATAAAGGATACCAGTAAGGTGAAGAGGAAAGAGATAGTTTCAGATTACATTTTGTGAAAAGCTGATAAAATTCAGTTATAATCACACCCAAAACTTAGAAATACATTTATTGTCCACAGATATTATCTATCTGTATATTTACAACTATTTCAGAAATTGTAGGTATCACATATATTTCTGTGACACCCAAACATTATAGTGTCCATTTATTTGTTGTTTAAGAGAATGGACTGGAGCAGGGGATACAGATAGGAACAAGACAACTTTCCTTTCCTCGCGGAGCTTACATCCTGTTGGGGAGAAAGTATTCCACAGTTGAAAATTTCTTTATACTTATGTTAAGAGAACAACTACATACTTGTGATAATTACTAAAAACATAAAATATAAGGTACTATGAGAGTTTCCAAGAGGCGGCCTATATGCACTGCAAAGTCATGAATTATCTTGGTGCTTCAATCCTGAATTGGGCAGACAATTTTAGCTACATATTTTCCCTTTCCTGTTCATTTTTGTCTTTACCTACCTAATTCTGTGTTCTCACAGCCCTGGCTCAGCATTGGAATCCACTTCTACACCCTCTTCCCCTTTGTCATTGTTCTTCTCTCAGAGGGAAGTCATACTAGAGGGATGATTGGCAGCCCATATATAGTTCCTTAGAAAAAGTGTTTTCTGTTGCTTAGGCCAGAAACATTGGAGATACACTTGACCAAAACAGTATCCCCAGTTCCTCCATAGCCCTTTGTCCTGCTTAATTTTTCTTCATAGCACTTGTCCTTACCTTATACATACATGTTTAGTTTATATATTGTCTTTCTTTTCCACTAAAAGTTTTTTAAGGGCAGGGATCTTTTTGTTTGCTACTGAATCCCCTTTGCCTAAAATAGTTCTTGGCATATAGTAGCTACTCAGTATAAGATTTGTTCTATGAGCCTTCAGCTAACATCATCCTCAATGGGGAAAAACTGAGAGCTTTCCCCCTGAGATCAGGAACACGACAGGGATGTCCACTCTCACCACTGTTGTTTAACATAGTGCTGGAAGTCCTAGCATCAGCCATCAGACAACAAAAGGAAATCAAAGGCATCAGAATTGGCAAAGAGGAAGTCAAACTTTCACTCTTCGCAGATGACATGATACTCTACATAGAAAACCCGACAGACTCCACCAGAAGCCTACTAGAACTGATCCAAGAATTCAGCCAAGTTGCAGGGTACAAAATCAACGTACAGAAATCGGTTGCATTTTTATACACCAATAATGAAGCAACAGAAAGAGAAATCAAGAAACTGATCCCATTCACAATTGCACAAAAAACCATAAAATACCTCGGAATAAACCTAACCAAGGATACAAGAGATCTGTATGATGAAAACTATAGAAAACTTATGAAGGAAATTGAAGAAGACACAAAGAAATGGAAAAACATTCCATGCTCATGGATAGGAAGAATAAATATAGTTAAGATGTCATTACTACCTAAAGCACTCTACACATTCAATGCAATTCCAATCAAAATTGCACCAGCATACTTCTCAAAACTAGAACAAACTATCCAAAAATTTGTATGGAACCACAAAAGACCCCGAATAGCCAAAGTAATACTGAAAAATAAAACCAAAACGGGAGGTATCACCATCCCAGACTTCAGCCTCTACTACAAAGCTGTCATCCTCAAGACAGTATGGTATTGGCACAAAAACAGACACATAGACCAATGGAACAGAATTGAGAACTCAGAAGTGGACCCAAAAGTATACAGCCAACTGATCTTTGACAAAGCAGGAAAGAATATCCAATGGAAAAAAGACAGCCTTTTTAACAGATGGTGTTGGGAGAACTGGACAGCAACATGCAGAAGAATGAAACTAGATCATTTTCTCACACCATGCACAAAAATCAACTCAAAATGGATAAAGGACCTGAACGTGAGACAGGAAACTATCAACACCCTAGAGGAGAAAGCAGGAAACAACCTCCTTGACCTCCACCGCAGCAACTTCTTACTTGACACATCCCCAAAAGCAAGGGAATCAAGAGCAAAAATAAACTGTTGGGACCTCATCAAGATTAAAAGCTTCTGCACAGCCAAGGAAACAACCCAGAAAATTAATAGGCAACCAACGGAATGGGAAAAGATAGTTGCAAATGACATATCAGATAAAGGGTTAATATCCAGAATCTATAAGGAACTCACCAAACTACACGCCCGAAAAACAAACAACCCAGTGAAGAAATGGGCAGAAGACATGAACAGACACTTCTCCAAAGAGGACATCCAGATGGCCAACAGACACATGAAACGATGCTCAGCATCCCTCCTCATCAGGGAAATACAAATCAAAACCACACTGAGATACCACCTCACGCCAGTCAGAGTGGCTAAAATGAGCAAATCAGAGAACTCTAGATGCTGGCGAGGATGTGGAGAAACGGGCACCCTCCTACACTGTTGGTGGGAATGTAAACTGGTACAGCCCCTCTGGAAAACAGTGTGGAGGTTCCTCAGGAAACTAACAATAGAACTCCCTTATGACCCAGCAATAGCACTGCTAGGAATTTACCCAAGGGATACAGAAATGCTGAGGCATAGGAGCACATGTACCCCAATGTTCATAGCAGCACTCTCCACAATAGCTAAAACATGGAAAGAGCCTAAGTGTCCATCAACAGATGAATGGATCAAGAAGATGTGGTTTATCTATACCATGGAATACTACATGGCAATGAGAAACAATGAAATCTGGCCATGTGTAGCAACATGGATGGACCTTGAGGGTGTTATGCTGAGCGAAATAAGTCAGGCAGAGAAGGACAAATATCATATGTTTGCACGTATAGGAGGATTAGGAGGAACTTGACGGAGGAACAAGGGGGAGAAGAAGGGCGGAAATGGTGGGGGAAAGGGAGAGAGGCAAACCATGAGAGACTCTTGAATGCTGACAAAAACTGAGGACTGATGGATGTGGGGGGGAGGGGGGGATGGGCATGGAGGAGGGCACTTTGGGGATGAGCACTGAGTGTTATGTAGAAACTAATTTGACAATAAACTATTTGTAAAAAAAAAAAAAAAAAAAAAAAGATTTGTTCTATGAATGAATCTTCTCTGGATTCCTGCCCTTCTTGAAGAGTGATGTCGCTATTCATTATAATCTTCCCTTTGTCTTGAACCTTCCCATCTTGATTCAGTTCTTCCCATTTATTTATTTATTTCATTATTAATGTTTATTCATTAGTGAAAGAGAGAGCATGAGCTGGGGAGGGGCAGGGAGAGAGAGAGAGAGAGAGAGAGAGAGGGAGAATCCAAAGCAGGCTCCATGCTCTGAGCTGTCAGCACAGAGCCTGACGCGGGGCTCAAACCTGTGAACTGTAAGATCATGACCTGAGCCGAAGTCAGATGCTTAACTGACTGAGCCACCCACGTGCCCCAGTTCTTCCCATTTAATAATGCTCAATTACTTATAAATATTTTAAAAATCTTTTTTAACCTTCTCTCAATTCCACTTTCCATTTCAGCATTCCTAACTACTCTCCAGTCTATGTGCCCACACCACCTACCAGAACACCTCTCACTAGAGTCACAAATGACTTCATGTCATTAGACGCACATTTGCCAGTTCTTGGCCACTCAGCATCATTCTCCATAATGCATTCCTGGTTCTCCTCTTCTCTAACTCTTCCTCTTCTATCTACTTTGGAGATTCATCTTTCTCTGACAATCATATATCAGAATTCTTCAAATGCTCAGGCCTTTGATTACTATCTAAACAATAACCTACAAATTTGTGTCTTAGTAATTCTCTTCCGAGTTCCAGATTCATATACCCAAAACGCCTACTAAGTTTCTCTCCTTGGATGTGGTTTTGAAGTTACTTCAAAACTCAGCATACCCCAAACTCAGTTCATGAATAGACTTGGTTCTTTTGGGAGAAGACCCTCCCAGACTTGGTTTTTCTCCACAGTACCCTATCTTAATGATTGGCATGCTGTTCTGAAAGCTAGAAAACTAGAAGTTAACTTAGATTATGCCACTATTTCTCATTCCCCATATCCAGCCTTTCATGAAGCCTTGTTATTTTTACCTTCTCAAACACTTTCAAATCCAGTGACTTCTCTTTAAGCCCTGCTGCAGGCATTATCATATTTTACAGGCATTACTGCCAAGGCCTCCACATCAGTT